CCCTCTGTCACCAGGCTGGAGTACAGTGGTGCGATCTTGGCCCACTGCAACCTCCACCTCCTGGGTTCAAGCAGTTCTCCTGCCTCAGCCTCCCAAGTAGCTGGGACTACATGCATGCACCACCATGCCCAGCTAATTTTTGTATTTTTAATAGAGACCAGGTTTCACCATGTTGGCCAGGATGGTCTCGATATCCTGACCTCGTGATTTGCCCGCCTCGGCCTCCCAAAGTGCTGGGATTGCAGGCGTGATATCTACTCTTTTTTTAGAGTAATTTTTTCATAGGGGGTTCATTGAAGAATTTCTGAGCCTTTACATATTCTGAAATGTTTTTATTTGGGAATTACATTTGATTTTTAGTTTAGATGGACATAAAGTCCTAGTTTCAAAATGTTTCATCTATAAAGATATTCTGTCTCTTAGTATTCAATGCTGATGATGATAAGTCTGATGCTGGTCAGATTCTTTTTGGGAATCACCTTTTCACTCTGGAAGTACTTGAGATTTTCTCCATACTATTGACATTTGTGTAGTTTCTACAGCTGGCCATAAATTAGCCTGAGTAGTAGCTTAAAACAACAGAAATTTTACTGTCTCACAATTTGGAGGCTAGGAGTCTGGAATCAAGGTATCATCAGCACCATGCTCTCTCTGAAGGCTCCAAGGAAGAATTTGTTCCATGCCTTTCTCTTAGCTTCTGGTGTTTGCCAGTAATCCTTGGTATTCTTTGGCTTGAAGCTGCATAAATCCAGTCTCTGCCTCCATCTTTATCTCCATCATGTTTGTCCCTCAGGTATTTCTCTGTGTCTCTCCTTCCCTTCTTATAAAGACACCAGTTGTGTTGGATTGGGACCCACCCTGATTCAATATGACCTCAACTTAACTTGATTACATCTGCAAAGACCCTATTTCCAAATAAGGTCACATTCAGAGGGAGTGATGATTAATACTACAATATATAATTTTTGGGGATGCAGTTCAACCTGCAACAACTTCTAAAGTTCTACCAGAGTATGGCCAATACGCTTACTTAATCTTGTTTAACACATTGTGGATCTTTTCAATTTGGAGATGTGCATGTGTTTTAAGCTCAAGGAAATTGTCTTCTATTATTTTCTTAATAATTTCTTCTCTCACATTGTATCTGCTGTTTCTTTCTGGAACTTATATTTGTTAGATGTTTACATTCCTGGGTTGACCCTCTTAATTTCACAATCTCTCTGTTTTATTCTCCTTTTTGATCTTTCATGCTTAATATTTAGAAGATTCCTTGACTTCCTATCAAGATTACCAACTGTGTTTCTATCAATTATTTTTCAGCCAATTTTTGACATGTTTATGTAGGCGATCACATTTCAATTTCTAAGAAGTCATTCTTCTTTCTGATTTTCTACTTTTGTGGATGCAGTATATACTCACATTATCTGAGGACAATAATTAGCATTATTTAAATATTTTTTGCTTTTCCTTGAGCCATCCCTGTTTTCACTAGGGTCAGTTATTGTTAATGGTATTGATTTTCCTTGTGATCCTTGGTGGTGTGTTTGTAATTAGGAAAGTCGGTAATGACTGGCATAGGTTTCCACTGCAGTTGTAAAGCCTGTTTCTCTCCTAGAATTCTTGTATAAATGACAAGGCTGACCTGGAATTCTGTATGAGGGGTCAAAGGCTGACCAAATGATATGCAGGCTTTCCTTTATGCTGTGTGTGTGTGCATATGTGCATGTATATGTATAGCAGAGGTCAGGCTGGGAACACCAGTAAGTGTTAAAGTAAGGAGGGCTTTGTTCAGGGGTTGGAGACTTATATATTTCCTCTCTCAGCTGGTGCTGCCTCTTCTCTCGCCTCACATTTTACCTCTTACTTGGTGATCTCTGGTGTTACTTCAAGTTCCACTCTGCTTCTCTATAAAGTTCTAACACCTTCATTTGGCATTCTTTCCAGTCAGGTATTCTACTTTCTTGAGAGAACATTTATTTATTTCTCTGACTTTATCCTCTGGGTAAAAACTGCTTCTGCCAACTGTTCTATGCTAATCAGAGGGAGGAGGCCTTAGCTTCCCATCTCTTCAGCTGTTATTCTTTAATGAGTTGCCCCACACCCCTACCACACTTTGCGCACCTGGGAAGACCTTTTCTAAGTCTAATCTCTTGTGGAGCAGCTTCTTCTCTTCCTTCTCTGATGGACTAATCCCATCTTCATTTTGCCTTGCAAAAATGCTTCAACATTACTGGTTTTTTTTTTGTTGTTTGTTTGTTTTTTTGTGACAAGCATCTTCAATTTTCAGTATTGTTGTGATGTAAGCCTGTTGAAATATAAATTTCAGTGGATCTAGGGAAGAAAGAAAGACACATATTGAGATACGCCCTCTTCCAACGCAGACTTTTACACTCTTCAACTTTTTATTTCTACTCTCAGATGTTTCATCACGTACAATTTTGTGTGCACACCAACACTACTTAAATTAATGAATGGAGTGGAAGAATCATATCATGTGTTTTATGTCTGCTTTCTTATTTATGTTGGCATCTGGAAAAGTACAAATATGCTGGTTGTTATACAGCGTTTTTCTGTATTGATGTTGTATAAAGTGCATTTCAAGCATGAATCATTAAGAAATCAAATAAGTTCTTGAATGTTTCATGAACCCACTTTACTAATTGGTCTTACGAATTGAAATACATTCAAGTTAGAAGCCTTTACAGTTATATAAAACAAGTTAATGGCAGAGTCTAAAGATTTGACATTTTTTCTTTTATGTTTATTAGATTGTATGGATAATGTATGAGACACTTTAGTCAAATTAAGAGGGAAATATTTTAAATCTTTATTTTTCAGCAAAAAATCGTGGAATTGCCATTCCAGTGGATTTGGACAGCCAAGTTAATACCCTTTTCATGAAGAGCCATTCAAATATGGTGCAGAGAGCAGCCATGGGTTGGAGACTATCAGCTCGCTCTGGGCCACGCTTTAAAGAAGCTCTCGGAGGGCCTGCTTGGGATTACAGAAATATTATTGAAAAGTTACAGGTACATGAGAACATGAAATGGCATTAATATTTTCTAAATTACATTTTTTGAAAATATGTAGTCACACAAATAAAATATGGTTAAAAATATCCGTTCTATTTGGGGACTAGGCCTTGCTTTACAACTGTGTACTACCACTACTCTTTTTAAACATATAGCTTCCATATGTTGTGAGTTATTTTTTAATGAGTGTATATTGATTACTGTGTTTTGATAATATGGTAGTGAGTAGTGGGTCTGAATATCAAAATAATAATCATAATACCAATGATAACATTGGTAAATAAATTACATATTCATAATCTTGCTTCAACTTATCTTTTGGCCACCTTGCTCTTAAATTACTTGTATAGTATCTGACTCATGATTTTAGCCTGGAAATTGTATTAGTTTGCCAGGGCTGCTGTAACAGAATGTCACAGACTTGGTGGCTTAAACAACAGAAATTTATTTTCTCATAGTTTTGGAGGCTAGAAGTCCAAGATCAAGGTGTCAGCAGGGATGCTTTCTTGGAGGCCTCTCTCCTGAGCTTGCAGTTGGCTGACTTCCTGCTGTGTCCTCATAGGGTCTCTTTTCTGTGTTTGCACATATCTGTATCCTAATTCCTTCTCCTTGTAAGATACCAGTTATGTTGGATTAGGGCCCGTTCATATGAGCTCATTTTATCTTAGTTACCCATTTGAAAGCCCTAGCTCTAAACAGAGTCACATTCTGAGGTACTATGAGTTAGGGCTTCAACATATGAAATTTTGGGGCGGTTACAATTCAGCCCATAACAGACATCTTCCCATCCACGTAATTAGTATAATATTCCATAGAGTTGAATTGGGGTATAGTTTGAAGAAGTTTTTTTCCTGCAAAATGGCCAAGACATGGACTGAAATAAGTATTATGAGAGATCACATGTAGATGAGTGTTATATGGGATTAGAAGGACAAGTTAGATTCAGAGAGTATGTGAAACTTAAAGGGTGTGAGATGTTAAAAATTTGGGGGAAAATGCCATTATAAGTGATCCTTGATTTGTAGGATAGCGTTATCAAAAAGAGACTAGAAGAAGAGAGAAGTTACTTAAGATCTGAGCCAGGTAGTGATATGGATGAAACGAAGAAATGGGTGCTACAGACAATGATGAAGGCAGGGTCAGCAGACTTGGAGGCTCCTGGATGGAAGTAGAAAGAGGGCTTGAGAGGAGGAGTTTAATACACAGTCCTAATAATACTATCTAGTCTCCCTGATGATTGGAGACTAGGTAGTATTATTAGGACTGTGTATGTAAGAGCAGAGGAGAAGAGAATGCAATAGGAGGGCAATGGAAAATGCAGTGAACTAGGATAGCAGGCTAATGAGTATACTGGAAGTTAAGTCTGTATTTGAAGATAATAGTTGGAACAAGGATAGTGGTTTGTATTGCTTAAAGAGAGAATATAGTGATAAAAAATAAACAAAAAAGAACACTCTTTGTGAGTGGCTAAGAGTAGCAGAATGGCCACATCATGAGTGAAGAAAAAGCAGGGTCAGAAAGGAGGAGGGTCAGGGTCAGGAGAACAAAGAGAGTGGAACATTTCAAAGGAGAGGTTATAATAGTGTCAGAAAGCACAGAGAGGGTATGGTATGCCTTAAACTTCTTTTAATAGATTGATATTCATTAAGTATTTATTTAGTAAAAATTCTAGACTAGCCACTGGATGAAGTGCTAGAGAGAGCGAGTCATGGGTCTGTGCTCTTTTGGGACATGCATTCTAACTTATTAAATAAATGATAAATTATTAGATAATTAAAACTGCAATGAATAAAGTAGAGCATAGTAGCAGCATGGTGGAGAATTACTGGGAGAGTGATCCTGTAATTGTGAAGTTCCTTTCTACCAGGGTAACAGTTGTGTTGAGACCTGAATAATAGGAATGTTCTAAGATTTGGGTTCAGAGAGTTTTATAGGAAGGAAATAGGAAATGCAAAGGTGCTTAGGCAGAAATGAGGTTGATTTTTGAAGATCTAAGAAAAGTCCATTGGAGCAGGAGTAAAGGAAGTGAGTAAAGGAAGAAAATATTATGAAATAAGGGGCCAAATCATGTAGAGAGTAATATGGTGCTGTGGCTGTGCCCCAAGTGTTTGTGTTCTCCCCTGCCTCAAATTCAATTCTAACCCCCAAGGTGATAGTATTAGGAGGTGGGGTCTTTTGGGAGTTGAGATTAGTGTCCCTATAAAACAGGCCCATGCAAGCTCATTCAGCCCTCCACCACGTGAGGACACAGCAAGAGAGGGACCTTCTATGAACCAGGAAGTACGTCCTCACCAGACAACAATTCTGCTGGTGCCTGATCTTGGACTTCCCAGCCACCAGAACTATGAGAAATAATTTCTGTTGTTTATAAGCTACTCAGTTTATGATATTTTGTTATAACAGCCTGAACAGATTAAGACACATAGGAAGGCATTTTAAGTGTATTCCAAGTGTGATGGCAAGTCATTGAAGATTTTCAGCAGAGGAGAGGCTGATTTGGTTTGCTTTTAAAAAGATCACTTTGAATTTTGGGTATATTATAAGATCCTGACATGAAAGCAGTGAATCTAGTTAGGTAGCTTTGTATTAACTCAGGGAAAAGGTGATGGCAGGTTGGCTTAAGGAGGTAACAATAGTAATGCAGAGAAGTGTGTGCATTTTGTATAAATTTAGTTGTAGAACTAATAGAACTTGGTGGATGAATTGATGCATTGTGAGATGATAGAAAGAAGAATCAAAGATAACTCTAGTTTTGATATGATATGATTGTGTTATTTACTAAAATAGGAAGCAATGGGAGAGAAAGAGGTTAGGGCTGAGTTGAAATTAGGAGTTCTATTGGGGGAATTTTAAATTTGAGATGCCTATTTAGATACCTAAGTGTGTGTGTCAACTAGGCTGTTGGATATATGACTCTGAAGAGGTTTAGAAAGATGTCCTGCTGGAAATATAAATGTGGAAGTTCCAACATATAGACGATAGTAAAACCATAGAATTGGATGAAATTTATCAGAAGGAAGTATAGGTATCAAAAAGAAAAGGAACAGGCACTACCGGGAATTGATGAAGAAATAGTAAGGACATAGGTGGAAAATAAAGTGTGGTGTCGTAGAAGTCAAGAGACAAAGTGTTTCAAAGAGCATAAACCGGTGTATAAAATGCTTAGTGGTGATTAAGATGAGGCCAGGCAGTAAACCACCGAGTTTGGGTGATGATCACAGCTAACTGGTGCTCAATAATAAAGATTGCTAGCATTTATATGGAATTAGTGGCCAGTATGTGTTAGAGGCTGTTCTGTGCACTTACCTTTAATCCTTGCAACAAACTCACATGATTATTAATATCATTATCCTAAGCTTTCATGTCGGGAAACAATGACTTAGGGAGGTTGCATGGTTGGCTCATGACGAAAACAGGAGATAAAGACAGAATTCACATCATAGCAGCAAGAGCACTGTTTGTTTAGTAGATGAAATAAAGAAGAGGTAATCTAAACAACAGGGGCATTTTTGGGACATTTACTTAAATATTGTCATATTTGATAAACATACAATCCCTATTTTTGTATAGTACTTAGTTTTCCCCTTTATGTTATTTCCTGTTAGTCTCTTTTAACTGTTTTCAGAAATTTCTCAGAAAGCTTATTTAAAGTGGTTGAAGTAGAAATGATCACTTTTGCAGAAAGAGAAGAGTTAAAACAGGAATTAACATGATTCATAAGAAATCAAGAAGGTGACATCCCCATCTGTGCTTCTGTAGCCTAGAGTGACAATAAGCAATTGGCAATGTTCTGCTTAATAAAAATATGCCATAGCTACGGGTGAATAAATTGCTCCTTTACATAAGATTTTTTTTCTTCTAACATAGTTTAAAAATAAAAGGGAATGCTTTAACCATTAAAGAATGTTCAGGAAATTATAATTACCTGCAGTTCATTTTAGAAGCATATCAGTTAAGATGCTTACAGCTTTAATTAACATAACATTCAACTAAAAGTGACTTAAATAATAAAGACCATATCATTTCACATAGCAAGAAACCTGGAGCTATGGCTGTCCTTGAGTTTGATAATTGTAGGCCTGGGCCCCTAAAACCAAAGGTCTGTAGGCATTCAGCTCAATGCTGGTCTCCCAAGGTCACATGAGGGCTGCCTCAGATTTTAGATTCACACCTTTAAGCTGCCTTGAGAACAGTAGGTGGTTTTGAAAGAATCTCCCCCACCCGCAACACATACCCCACTCTCTCAGTGTACTTCAACTGGTGTCTTATTGACTGGGACTGTGTCACATAATCATGCCTAGACAGATTGCTAGAGGCGGAAATGGAATAACCATGCCTAGCTTAGAGTAACCAACCTTGACCTTAAGCTGAGGGGGCTCATCCCCTGAGAATGTTGTTGCCTGACTCAGAAATTACGTTGAGATTCTGTTAGCAAGGAAGAGGGTAAAGAAAGGCTGTTGGGTATGTGACCAATAGGGTCTCTCAAAAAATATAATTTGAAATTCTGTTGAATGTTATTGAACCCAGGTATAGTACTAATATTGCTTCAAATAAGATTTCAGTGACCTTTCCCATTGGATGAAATAATTCATTCTGAATGACCAATGACACATGGAATTTTTTTTTTCTTTTCAAGACAGGGTTTCAATTGTCGCCCAGGCTGGAGTGCAGTGGGTCCTATCTTGGTGCTTACTGCAACCTTCGCCTCCTAGACTGAGGTGATTCTCCCACCCCAGCCTCCTGAGTAGCTGGGACTACAGGCACAGGCCACCATGCCTGGCTGGTTTTTGTATTTTTAGTAGAAAAAGGGTTTCACCATGTTGGCCAGGCTGGTCCCCAAATCCTGGCCTCAAGCAATCCACCTACCTTGGCCTTCCAATGTGCTGGGATTACATGTGTGAGGCACTGCACCTGGCTGGAAATCTATTTATTTTTATCTGCCACCTGGTTATGCCCCTAGTTTATTACAATTTAGTGAGTGCCTATCATGTCTCCATTGTAATATTAGACACTGCAGGGCACATAAAGTGGCTTAACTGACATTTCCTTTTATAGGTGTTTATCCTTAGAAATCTTATAGCTACCTTCCCCTCCCTTATCTTGTAAATGAAAACACACACACACACACACACACACACACACACACACGAACCCAGGCAGTATTCATACATAAAACCAGACCATAATTATGGCACAGACATTTGGTGCTATGGAAATATAGGAGGCATCTATAAAATTCCCATTAGTATTCTTAGGCTTGTCATATCTTTGAAAGATAAAATCTGACTTAGGCCTTCATGTGGATTCTCTTGTGTTTCATTCCCTAGGATGTGGTGGCCTCCTTGGAGCACCAATTCAGCCCAATGATGCAGGCTGAATTCTCAGTATTGGTTGATGTATTGTACAGTCCAGAGCTGCTATTCCCTGAGGGAAGCGATGCAAGAATAAGATGTGGCGCTTTCATGTCGAAGTAAGTGGATCCAATCTGAAATTCTGCTACTGTCACCAAACTGAGATGGCCTCTAACATTTCCACGTTATACTTCACTGATATAAAATGACAGTCCACAAAGTATGTGAAAGGCCTAAAATCCATGTTAAAATATGTTGCCAGAATAATTAAATTGAGTCATTTGAAATTTTATTTTGGTGAAGGTCAAGTTATCATATTTTACTAAATTTACTGAAAATAAAGTGTGTCATTATGGGGCACAAAGTATTATGCAAAATAATATTTTGGTCCTAATTCCTTTCCATAATTATATGGTGTGACCTTTTAAAAAATTCTTGTTTAAAGTCACTTGTTTTCATTAACATAGGGAGAAAGGAAAAGGAGCTAGCATTTATTGAGGTCTTACTATTGTCATATGTCTTTATTATTTTATCTAATCTGCATAAACACCCAGAGACTGGGAAGTCTGCCTGATTCAGAGGAGAGAAAACTGAGGACCAGGTGCACTTCAGGTGCAGGGTTAGTAAGACTCAGACCCAGTATGTGGCCGTGCTGCCTGGATGATTCTTACTACAGTTCTTTCATTTACTGATTTTTCTCAGCATTGGTGGTATTGTCAGATCTATTATAGCTGATATATTTACCCTAGAGTATCTTCATCTTAATGGTAAGTGAAAAATTCTTAAGGGAGATGTGCAAGGATAAGCAGTTGTGAGAAAAAGCCTAACTAACTCCAGAAAGAAGAGATTTGTCTTTATGTGGAGGGCATGCCATTGAGGACTTTGCAGGTGGTCACATGTAGACTCTAGATGTCCAGTCAGAAAGAAGGTGCTTAGTCTTCTTGGGAAGAGTATCTGGGTGGAGAGTCAGTGAGATGAGCTTGCCCAGCCCCTTGACCCTGAACCATCCCAGCTAATTCCTGTGTGGTAGAGAGTATTGCTCAATGAGATCTGGAAACCTCTTCCATCAACTGTGATGTACCGAGGCAGAGATTGAAGCCCTAGGGGACACAAGAAGTGTGTTCCTTTCTTTCACCATTTAAGCTGAGACGTTGGGAGTGAAAGCAAGGTGTGTGATGAGAAAAGCTGCAGGGATTGTGCTGAAGAATAGGTGGGGTTTTTATATTACGGTTATGGCTAGAATCAGGTATAGGCTCATTGCATCTTAGGGAGTTTGGCAAGAATGTATGTTTCTGGACACCTGCCAGTCTTCTGACTAAGGATTTTAAAGTGAAGAGGCCCAGAGTGTACAACTGATGACTGCTGAGATCATTAGAAATAAAATTTAAAGTAGAGATATTGCCTAGTAATTCACTGTAAAAATAGGGTGTTGAGCAGGGTTCACTATTCAGAGGATGAGTACACTGAAAGCCCAGACTTCACCACTACACATACATGCATGTGAGAACTCTGCACCTGTACCCCTTACATATCTAAAAATAAGAACTAAGTAAAAAAAAGATAATAGCATCTTTGATAAATATCTTTCACCTTCTATGAATATATGTCATTGTATGGAATATGGGTTAAAATTAGGTGATAAACCTGTCAAGTTCAATAAATTAACATAATATTATAGCTATATCCTTGAGATGTGACAGCCTGGAATGGAGGTTGGCAAGCTCTGGCCCTCAGGCTAAATTGGTCCTGCTACTCATTTCCGTAAAGAAAGTTTTACTGAAATGCAGTGGTGCTCATTCATTTCTAGATTGTCTATGGCTGCTTTCATGCCACTGTGGCAGAATCAGTTAGTTGCCAGGGACTGTGTACCCCGCAAAGCCTAAAATATTTACTATCTGCTCCTTTAGAGAAAAGGTCTTCTGACTCCTTGTTGAGAACTAAGGTGCCAATATGGTAGCTACTAGCCACACATGGCTACTTAAATTATAGTTTGAATTAATTAAAATGAAATAAAAATCTACTTCCTCAGTCATATTGGCCACATTTCAAGTGCTCAATAGCCACATGTGGCTAATGGCTACCAAATTTGGCAGCACAAATATAGAACATGTATATTATTGCAGAGTTCTGTTAGACAGCAGTGGTCTAGAACTTGAAGATACTTGTCTATGAGAAAGTGATATGAAGTAACTCAGGATATCAAGTAAATATTGAGCTGTGCTGCAGATGGAGACAAGTCTGTGGCACCATTAGGTAACCTGAAAGGAGAGAAGCAAAAGTGATATGGTAATAGGAACACATTGCAGATCCTACACCCATATGAAGGAAAAATGATGTGTGTACGTGAGTGGTTCTAGAAGAGATTGTAGAAGATATTTTTGTGCTATTGCAATTGTATTACAGCCAGAGCCTCAGGACTGTCTGTTTTGCATCTTAGTGCTCACCCTACCTCTTCCCCAACCCTTTGAAGAACTAAGGGTTTCCTTTGTAAGAATATCTTATAAATTAGAATCCAACTTTATGAATAGCTTTGCCAGAGGTCTTATATTGCTGTGCATACCATCCTGGTAAAGCTTAGCTAGAGAATATAAATTTAGGTCCAAGCCCTAAGTAGGGGCTTCCTACTTTTTCTCAAATAAGTCTAATTCTTAGAATCTGTTGACTCAGATGGGTCTGCAGGAGAATATGAGGATAGACCCCAGGAAAGAACTGGAATTCACAGTCTACTTAACACATAGAGTGAGAGAGAAGAGAATAGGTCAATGACACTGTTAATCTTTAAGGCAGCTGATTAGAGTCCATTCAAGTCAACACCTACTCCTCCCTTGTGAAGGAGAATCTCTGTGTTTTTCAGACTGTAGGGTATGATCCATTTATAGATTTTTTAGTTGACTTAGGTAGAGGCAACCAGCTAATTAAAAAAATGAATTAGAGAAGATACAAATTATCAGAGTGCATCTCATAGTAAGGATGACATTTGTGTGAGTTTATACACACTCCCACACAGGTACTTCCATACTGGGTTGTTTTGTGAAATCTATTTCTTGCTTTGATCATAGAAAAAATATTTGAAAGTCACTGACCTAGCTCAACCAGTCATTATGTGGTTTATGAATGCCTTTTATAAATCTGTAGCAAGTGGTCATTCAACCTTATGGTTGATATTTTCAATATGGTTAGTGAATTAAAACTTTTATGTAAGGAAGAGTTAAAGAAAATGGAAATACTTAGCCTGAGAGAGTGAAAAAAAAATCAAAAGAAATTTATCATGTCCACCAAAACTATTTTCACATATTTAAAGACTACTATGTGAATGTATATACCTACTATGTACCCACAAAAATTAAAAATCGAAAAAGGAGTATTGTGTGAAAGAAAGAATCAAATAGCAAAAGTTTTAGAAAGGGAGGCTTCACTTTCCTGGCCAGGAGAACTTTTGAAATTCTTCTGCCTGTTAGGCCTGACCACATGTATATAACACGTTTTCTAGACTCAACATGTCTAAAAGGACATCAGTGTTACTTTCATTGTGTGTTGGCTACTTCTTCGGGATGGAACAGTGTCATTTTAAAGTGTCATCATTGGGCTGGGTATGGTGGCTCACACTTCTAATCCCAGCACTTTGGGAGGCTGAAGCAGGAAGATCAGTTGAGCCCAGAATTTTGAAACCAGCCTGAGCAACAAAGCAAGACCCTATCTCTGCAAAAAGCAAAAAAATTAGCCAGGTACTATGGCATATACCTGTGGTCCCAGCTACTCAGGAGGCTGAGGTGGGAGGATCAATTGAGCCCAGGAGGTCTAGGCTGCAATGAGCTATGATCACATGAGTACACTCCAGCCTGGGTGACAGAGACCCTATCTAATTAAAAAAATTTTTAAAAAATCACCATCCACTATTAGTCCAGTCTATACATTTCAAGGGTCTCTGATCTGCCCTGCTTCCTCTTCTACTTCCCGCATGTCATTATTTACAGTCTTGGCTGCGGGTCTTCTCTGTTGCTTTCTACACCCTCACCCGACCTCTGCCACTGTTCTCTTGCCTTGCTCCGTCTCCTCTGCTTCACCTTTCCTGCTGCCATCATTGGTCTCTTTCTCACAGTGGGAAGAGGCATTCAGGTCCTTTAGAACAGTAGTTCCCTATTTTCTCTAGAAAACATTCCAGATTCTTGAGGTTAATATTCCAGTCCCTTCTTTCCAAACCACATCTCTTACACTTTCCTCTTCCAAGTCTTTAAGTGTCAGTGGGCAATTGACGTGCTTCTCATTTCCTGAACACGCTGGCTAGGTTTCTGCCTCTGTCCTGTGTTCTTACCATTCCCTTTGCAGGGATGTCTTCTCTCCCCAGCCTTTCTTGCCAGGTGAAATCTTCACAAGTTGCGTGCTGTCTCTTCACTGACACCTTCTCTGATCAGCCCTAGGTAATTCCCCCCAGTAGAATGAAGTGGTTTTATGTCTGGTTCACAGCATTTGCCAATGTCTGTGTTGTGGCACTTACCCATTCAGGGGATTTTGTGCAGCCTAGCATATGTGTAGGGACTCTGCACAAGACCCCTGAGACTCCAGAGATCAGTGACCTGAGTCCCCATCATCACAGAGTGGTTCATAATAATTTTGGCTCTGAGGTCAGATGGACCTGAGTGCCTTTGCGGGTCTCACCCCTTAACAATTTACGTAACCAGAGGCAGGTTGCTATATCTCCCTGACTTCTGTTCTCTTATGAGCAAAATCAGTCTGAACCTGTCCCAAACGCTTGGTGTAAGGATAAATTGGAAGACTCCCTGGGAAGTCCTTACACTTGACCCTCACACCTTGCTAGCCATTAACTAGTGAAAGTTCACCTTTTCCCCAGGGTTATGCTCCACAGTACTCATGTTATGTCACTGAAATTGGGTCATTTGAAGAAGACGTCTCACAGGGTCATTTTGAGAATCAGCTTTTTAACAACATGAGCTATATATGCTCTCTCTCTATATATATAAAAGCTAAATTCTGATAATGAAAATTTTATTTGATTTTAAGTTCTTGGGGATGGTGATCCTGAAACTCTTCTCCTAACAGAGCACTAGTACACAGTTTGTCACTTGATTAAAATTGATTGGAGTTTTTGCCCAAATATAGCAAAACTGGTAAATGGATAGACTGTCTTGATGTCACTTTTTTGTTTTTTGTTTTTAAGACAGAAACTGCTTGTTTCTACCAAACCCTGGCAGTGAAAAATGGCACATTGTTATGAATGGAAACTGGAAAGCAGCCTGTTATATTAAGGTTGCAAAATTATATACAGCCATTGCTACTCTTATGTCTAATGTAATACAGTATATAAAAATAATATAGTGTAACTTAACATAATAAAATGTAATATAAATATTTATATTTAACTACTAATAAATTTGCTTTAGTTCATATAATGGAGTGAGAATATTAGTGTTTCATTGTTTCTCAGAGTAGTGTGTCCCACTAAAAGAATGTCACCTGAGTAAGTTCGGGAAGCCCTGAGATATACTACCTGTAAAACAAATATAATGTGTTATAATACAAAATTTATAAGCTGAAGTGTAATCTTAAAACTTTTGAAAAACATGTACCTGGTTTACTTCGTATTCTCAAATAATTGTGTGATTTTCTTTCGTCTGTGGCCTTTAATGTTTGTATATAGCTTGAAGAGAAATCACTGTCTTTCTAAAGGTTTAATGTTTTGCTTTAAGGTTGATTAATCATACAAAGAAACTAATGGAGAAAGAAGAAAAACTGTGCATTAAAATTCTTCAGACATTACGAGAAATGCTAGAGAAGAAAGACAGCTTTGTGGAAGAGGTATTTTTTTTTAAATTTATTATTTAAAAATAAAATAGGATTTCCAGAATACTGTACCCTGTGAATTACAATAGGCTATTACCTGATTACTTGCATTATATATTAATGGTGTATGTACTTAGATGAGTAAGATAATTTGAGTTTTTATGGTATTCATCTCTCATGCCTTGTTTTAAATTGGGAAATAGCTAAAATCAGAGTGGCCTAGATATTTGTTTTATTTATTTATTTTTTATATTCTGTCTTGGATCTGTGTTTTTTCCTCTTATGGCTTTTTCTAGTGGACCAATTGATCTTTTCAAACAATGAGTAACTGAGATGCATTATTTAGACTTGTGTAAAGTTCTGCTGCATACTGAGAATGTTTATGCATTTTGTCATATGTTGATTTTTTATTATAAATATATGTTCATGTTACTTTTGATAATATTCTGCCAAGTATTATAAAATAATACTATTTTAGTAAATGGAATAGTCAGTTTCTATTCTTAGCTCTATTAACTTTAGATTCACAAATGATTTTCAGGGAAATATCAACCTATAGATAATAATTTTCGGCCTGTTATTAAAAATGACAGCTCAGGTGCTCATTAAGAGATAGCTACCAGCATGTTTAATACCCAAGGTGATATACTTAAATATAAAATATAAATCTAGAGAATTTTTTTTAGCTAGCTGTCTGTACTTTTATGTTAGCTATCAAACAAAATTTGTACCATGTTCCTTAATAACCTTTTGGTCTGTTTCAGTAGATACGAATCATTTGATATTTTAAAACTGGAAGGATTTTATTCATTACTTTATGTATATACTAAATTCCAGAAAGATTGTTGTGGTTGAGTTTTTTAAAGTGCATTCCCATTTTAGAAAAAAATGCAATGGAAAGTTGGATATTAGTAGAAAGGGCATTGCTTCAAAATATTCCATGTGAACCAGTGTTTGTTTCTGTAATCAAAATGCCTTCTACTTTGCATTAGTTCTCTGCATCACTTAAATTTTATTTGGGAAACAAATGATCAAAATAAAGGTGGTCAATGTAATTTTAGCAAATGTTTCTCTGAGATAGGACTCAAAAACATGCTTGTATATTCGAGTGTGTGGTATGCTTTTTAAAAATGATCAAGAGAATTCCTTGGGACTTATTGTTGCCTTTCTCTTAAAATACTGCTATAGATTGTGTGATATTGACTGAAGTACCAGATTCTAAAGTAGAAAAATGAGGCCAATATACTTTTCTGACAGAGGATGAGGTTCACAATAAAAGTGACTCGTATTTAACAGGAGATACATGGCAAATGTTCCATTTTTATGTAACAGATTTTTATTGAATTTTTCCAAGGGAAAATCGGAAAGAAATCAGGTTAAGATTTTACTTTGGCTAGTCAAGAGTATTTTTGTGTGTCTCCCAAATCACTCTAAAATAAATCACTTGTTTTCTTCTTTCCATTCCCACTGCTATCACTAGTTCAGGCTTTTATTATCTCCCATCTAGAAAATTCCAGGAGTGCAGCTTCGTGAGACAGATTGCTCCCTTGGGTGGAGGCAGGGCTGCTGTTTTCATAACTTCAAGGATCCTCATTTATGAAAGACATGATGTAAATGACACCCCCATGACACAATCCTCAGGGAAGGGTTGAGATCAGAAAGGCTAATTGCAAGTCCTTCATTTGATCACCCAACACATATGTTGTGAGCAAACTATTAAATGGTGGTTATTGTGCTTGGGTACTGGGGATACTGAGATGAATGACACAACTTGCCAAGAGCCATGAAAGGGTACAATTCCTAGGCTAGTGGACTCCCTTAATAGTGTAGGCAAGAGATCACTAGAGCCCTTCAAATACCATCAGGGGCTCTGTGCCACATTAGTGTTGCAGGCCCTCCATTTGTCCTCTCCACTTCACACCCCCATCTGTATTCATCCATTAGGTGTCCAGAGATCTGTGATACTCAGTGTACCTATAATGTACCTCAGGCTTTTCCTGCCTTGACCTTTATCTGGAATCATAGATAGCAAAAATCCAAACAAGCCTCAATGCTACCAGTTGTCTTTGTGGACCAGCCACTGGGCAGTATTTATCAAGTGTTCCCCAGCAAGTGGTGATTACTTTCTCAATAGAATTACCAAAATACTTCATGCTCCTCTTTTAGGACGCTTTAGGCTGTATCTGGATATTTAGTCCAAGCTTCTTATTTTAAAGATGATGCCACAGAGTCCCCGAGAAGTGATGTGATTCGAGTGAAGTCACATAGCAAGAGCTAAAACCAAAGTTTAAATTGGAACTCCTTCCTCTCTGCCTCATCTTCTTACTCCTTTGATCATAGCCAAGTTTTACCAATTTTTTGCGCTGTTGTTAAGAAAGGTTAATATACTTTGTCTTGCGGGTTTATGGCTCGGAATTTTAAGACACAGGCAGACAGAATATAAGACAGAATAACATTCAAAATAGGTAAAGATTCAGATAAACTTTTAAGAAAATAGTAAAGGTAGGGGAAATGAAGTTATTTAACCAAGGAAGAAAAACCTGATTTCATTTTTTTATGGCCGAGTAAGATTTCATTGCACATATATACATCACATTTTCTTTACATATTCATCCATTGAGGGACACGTGGATTGATTCCATATCTTTGCTGTGGTGAATAATGTTGCAGTAAACATGTGAGTGCAGGTATCCCTTTGTTATGTTGATTTCTTTTCCTACGATAGATACTCTGTAGTGGGATTGCTGAATCCAATGGTAGTTCTGCTTTTAGTTTTTAAAGAAATCTCCATCCTGTCTTTCATAGTGGCTCTGCTAGTTTACTTTCCTACCAGTAAGGTATGAGTTCCCTTTTCTCTACATCCTCATCAATGTCTGTTATTTTTTGTCTTTTTAATAATAGCCATTCTGGCTGGGGAAAGATAATATCCTGTTGTCATTTTGAGTTGCATTTCTCTGATGATTAGTGATGTTAAGTTCTTCATATGCTTATTGGCCATTTCTATGTCTTACTTTGAGAAATGTCTAGTCATGTCTTTTGTCCACTTTCTAATGAGTTTTTTGATTTTTTCCTGTTGAGTTGAGTTTCATATATTTTGGGTACTAGTCTCCTGTCAGATAAATAATTTGCGAATATTTTCTCCATTCAACAGGTTGTCTATTCACTCTGTTAAGTGTTTCCTTTCTGTGCAGAAGCTTTTTAGTTTAAGATAGTTCCATTTGTCTCTTTTTGTTTCTGTTGCCTGTGCTTTTCAGATCTTAGGCATAAATTCTTTGCCTAGACCAATGTTCAGGAGAATTTCCCCTAGGTTTTCTTCCAGTGTTTTTGTTGTTTTGAATATTATGTTTAAGTCCTGAATCCATTTTGAGTTGATTTTTTTATATTGTGAGAGATAAGGATTCTGCATGTGACTATCCAATTTTGCCAGCGTCATTCATTGGAGAGGGTGTTTGTTCCCTGTGTAAGTTCCTATCTGCTTTGTTAAAGATCAGTTGGCTGTAAATATATGGCTTTGTTCCTGGATTCTTCATTCTGTTTCATTGGTCTATTTTTATACCAATGCTGTGCTGCTTTGGTTAGTCAAGCCTTCCAATATATTATAAGTTAGATAATATGATGCCTCTAACTTTATTCTTTTTGCTCAGGATTGCTTTGGCTATTCCAACTCTTTTTTGGTTCCGTATGAATTTTAGGATTCTTTCAAAACAATGATATCATTTTACTTGCAGCAACAATGAAATGTTGTTTGCTGAAATGGATGTTGAAATGGATGCTGCATGGAACTGGAGGTCATTATCTGAAATGAAACAAGCCAGGCACAAAAAGACAAATACTGCATGTTCTCACTTATATGTAGGAGCTAAACCATTTTATCATATGAAGGTAGAGAGTGGGAAGATAAATAACAGAGACTGGGAAGGATGGAAGGTGGAGAATGAAGGGAACTGGGTTAAAGGGTACAAATGTACAGTATGACAGAATGAATAAATTCAATGTTTGATAGCAGACTAGGGTGACTATACTTAACAAAATACATTGTACTTGAGTGATGGACACATCAAATACAGTGACTTGATCACTGCCTTTATATATATGTAACAAAATGTCTCATTTATCCTATAAGTTTGTAAAATCAAGAAAAGTAAAAGGAAAAACCTAATAAAAAGCCTAAGTATGTTTTTTAATTTTCACATTTACTAAGGACAGAATAGAAAATTATAGCTAAAGCAATTCTAGCTCTTAGACAACTTTTTAATTCTAAGTGTTTTGAAATGAGAACTATTTCTACCAGTAGAAGCAGAAGACATTTCATCCCCATTCTCAGGAAATCTAAAAAAAAAAAAAAAAAAAAAAAAAAAAAGAGCATACTAGATCTAGAATGATTCAAACAACCACCCTGGGAACTAGTCATGACTACATCCATTGGTCCTTCTGAAACAGCTGGTGCTCAGTGATCCATGCTATTTGGGGGAGCTAAATGGCTCACCTATCTGGGTGAAATGGCATTGGATAACAGATTCAGAAAGTAGCCAGAGATACTGTTGTACAACTAATGGTGTGCTCTACTAACAAACCCTAATTATCACTAGTGGGATAAGAAGTGGCTGTGTTTCCATGATTGTATTATTTTCTATTGACCAAAAACTTCGTGGTATAAAACCACACAAATTTGTTATTTTACAGTTTTGGAAGTCAAAAGCTTAAAATCAAGGTGTGAGCGGTAGAGTGTTCCTTCTGCAGATTTGAGGGGAGAGTTTATTTCCTTGCCTTTTCTGGGTTCTGGAAAAGGTTCGAGGCTTGGTTCCTTGGTTCCATTCCCTGTCTTTAAAGCCGGTAGTGTAGCCGGTAGTAGAGACTTTCCAGTCTCTACTCTCGATTCCACGCCCCCCCTCCCCACCATGGTTGTCACATCTCCTACCTCTGATGCTCCTGCCTCATTCCCCTAAGAACACTCGTGATTACATTGGAAACACTTGGATAATCCAGTATAATTTTCCCATTTCAAGAGCCTTAAC